TTGTTTACCTTAGAGGCCAGCTCGGAGGGGGGAATAGCCTCAAACGCCTCAATGAAGTGCTCGGCAGCGGGCGATAGAGGGCGATCAGCAGCTCCACCGGGTAGCAACGTTGTAGAACCCTTGGAAAGATACAAGTCATTAGGGGTGACAGCAGCAGCAGCTAAAGAGGAGCCAGGTAATGGGGAGTTGTTGTAAGCGTGGGTGACCAGGCTGTGAAACTTCCACCAGTAGCAAGCCGGTGAGTTGGTCTCCAACAGCATGGCTCTCAACCCATTTTGATACTCCTTGTGACAGCGTTCGTAGAAGGCCAAATTGGGCGAGAATGGAGGCAACATCAGCAGCTGAATGCCTCTGGCCACAAACATTCCACGTACAAGCAAATTGGCGAATTCTTTTCCACCGTCAACCAGACAGACACTGGGCGAAATCTCATCCAAGAGCTCACCGAGAACCGTCGCAACTTCGGCCGAAGACTTGGTGCAGAGAGTGCGAGTCCATATCCTGTAGGTTGCCGCACATATGACCATCAGGATATACTTAGGTGTCGGCAAGGAGTCAGCAAGGCCATCACTGCGAGGGTTACCGACGCTCTGCAGGGCAGTGTCAACTTCGGCACTCCATGGGCTCAGCTTGAGGGAATCAGTAGAGACCGAATTGTAGACCAGCAAGTCAATCCCAAGCAGCTCACCTGGAAGTGAGGATCGGATACGAGCCCGTCCAAGGGCATGCCGGTGCAGCCTAGTGCTCTTCGTACGCCTACAGGTATCGCATGAGCATACGATACGGTTGGCCAACTTGAAGAGACCCTTGCACCAAAAATAACGGGACACCAACTGACGAGTGCGGTCACGACCAGGATGACTCGCACATACATGTACGGCTTCAATCACTTCACTGGCCAAGGTGGAGGGGATAACAATAGTAGGTCTCCCATCAGGGGCTTCGACGGTGCGGAGAACCAGGCCATCATCATCGATGTTGAAGAACTTCTTGAGGTTTCGAATATAGCTCGCAGTGAAGTCAGAACAGCTCTCAGAGAAGACTCGGACAATATTCTTGCATAGGGGATCATCTTGCTGCTCAGAGCGAATCCTAGCCAATAGGTCATTGGAGAAGCCCTCGGGAACCTCAGGTGCAGGGGGCGGAGGGTCATCAGTAGCAGCTGACAGTAACGCAATATCTACATCCTCCGGGCCTTCGGCGACCTCTGAAGTAATCTCGGCAGTACTCCAGATCGAAGGGGCGGTGCGGCTGACGTAGACGTCCTCAAAGATTGCAGTTGCTCCTTCTCTAGATGAGGAC